ATCCATATCCATCTTAAGTATCTCATTGTTGTTGTTATTATTTTTATTCTAGAAGTTTCAAAAAATCTACTATGATTATAAGTAAAAATTGTATATTTTGTGCATAATGTTACTTTTAATACGGAAATTTTCATGCAATTGGATGAAAAATCTTTAAAAAAAAAGCATGTATTATTCTGGTAAGGTAAACGTTTTTCAAGCACTTAAACTTATGACAAAAAATCGAACCAACATGGCTAACCATAAATTCAAAATTTTCCACATTTTAGAGATACTTTGTAACAGGAAAACTTTCCCAGACTTACTCACATTAGTAAACATGTGATTGAAAATGAGTCATCAACGCATTAAACGATAGTTGACGTATAAGCTCTTTCTTATCCCTCTTGTACCTTATCCGAACGTGTGCCTCCATGGCAAGTATACGTAACTATGTACCCCAACATAGCTGCGGGAGAGTTTCGGGCGAGAAATTTCCGATAAACCTTTAAATTAGCACCCTGGCTATCCCCTTGAGCGTAAAATCAACAACTCCGTACGGGCTGAATCCTTTACAGCCCAGATATACGTATATGACGTGTGGGTTACTATGACCCTTTCCTATCTAGTATACTTTGCCAAAATGCTGATGGTTGGAGTATAGTATACCCTACGATTTCGAGCTGGTGTTGCATCAGAGCGTAAAAGGTTGCTTTCAGCCTTTTTTTGCTTCTGTTGAATCGAGAGTTAAGTAATTTTAGCATTTTATTATTATTTTTTTTACGTCATAGATACTCATTTTTGATGATTTTAACAGTGTTCAGAATTGTGTAGGCTTGTTATCACCTATTTTTCGAGTAAAAAACAAAAACTTTGGGGCTTAATATTTTTTTAAACATTTAATAATCTCCTAGCCTATCACTTTTGGGAAATAATTTCATAGATTAATCTTTTTGTAAGTATCCATGTTGTCTTCGTGGTATTTACCAGTGTCGTCTTCCACAAAGTGTGCGACAAAGGTGTACGGTAAAGGTTTTGCCACACACCGGAAAAAATTTTGGTACACACTGGTAATCAAAATTCACACCTATTTTGTTCCTATTTTTATCACACATTGCGAAAAAACTTGTACGCAACTCGTGCGGGACGATTTCCCGCACTCGTGTGATAGACTCGCACTCGTGGCCGGTAACGGTAACTCGTGCCGTGCGACCACACTCGTGCTACGCACTCGTGTGCTCAACTGGTATTTGTTCCCGTCAACTCCGGCCACTCGTGTGAGTCAATCACGACTCGTACGGGAAATCGTCTTTTCCGCACTTGTTACGTAAATAACTATTACTATTCTCAAACGTCAGATGTTTCAAAATTAGCTAATGGCTGACTAACTTTTTAAACAAAGATGTACATAGTTTATTTATAAGTTTGCTTACATAGATTACTATTGTGTTCTAGAAATTATATCAATACGTACAACTAGAACGAAAAAACAGCTTGGGTAATCTTCGTCACATAACTTCATCAATTGCAATCAATTATTTTTGTGTGCATGTAACCAGAAACAAAATTTTATCCAACCAGAAAAAAATCGCTGAGTCTGTAATTTAGAATGCAACTTTTTTTCTTTGGGGGTCTTTGACAACTTACGAGAAAGAAAATAGGGAATGTGGCAAAGATCTTACGTCATTCAAATATACATAAATATTTTTGATAAGTGAGAAAACTCTTATTACTTGAATGAGAATTATGAAAAAGCTAGCAGTAATATACGATCAGATTGCTAAACTTTGCTGACGAAATTGCATTTTTTTAGTAGAATAACTCACAAAGATTAACAAATATTTTATGTTTTTTTTTACATCACTGCATTTGACGGAAATGGGCACAATGATTATAAAATTTATCAATCACTTAAGAGTAAAATTTTTTCTGAAAAATTTAATTTGTCTTATTTTCATCAGAATATTATTTTTCGTTACTACTTACAATACAACTCTCATCAAAAGTTTTTCTATAAAATATTAAACGAAACGTAGAAATACTCTTTCAAAATGCTTTGACACTATTTTATTTGATTTTTTTACCAAAATGTATGCGTGATTTGTGCTTGAAAAATTTTGTTTTATTTCAATTGTTGCAGATACGACTGTTCCAGGCAATCATCCCGAATCTCGATC